TCGACATGGTTTTGTTCATTTGATACATCACGCTATTGTGATTTCCTTGTAGCCTACTGTATGATACAGACGTTTCCTTGTAGCCTACTGTATGATACAGACGTTTCCTTGTATCTTACTGTATGATACAGACGTTTCCTTGTAGCCTACTATATGATACAGACGTTTCCTTGTAGCCTACTGTATGATACAGACGTTTCCTTGTAGCCTACTGTATGATACAGACGTTTCCTTGTAGCCTACTGTATGATACAGACGTTTCCTTGTAGCCTACTGTATGATACAGACGTTTCCTTGTAGCCTACTGTATGATACAGACGTTTCCTTGTAGCCTACTGTATGATACAGACGTTTCCTTGTAGCCTACTGTATGATACAGACGTTTCCTTGTAGCCTACTGTATGATACAGACGTTTCCTTGTAGCCTACTGTATGATACAGACGTTTCCTTGTAGCCTACTGTATGATACAGACGTTTCCTTGTAGCCTACTGTATGATACAGACGTTTCCTTGTAGCCTACTGTATGATACAGACGTTTCCTTGTAGTCTACTCTATGATACAAACCTTTCCTTGTAGCCTACTGTATGATACAGACCTTTCCTTGTAGCCTACTGTATGATACAGACGTTTCCTTGTAGCCTACTGTATGATACAGACCTTTCCTTGTAGCCTACTGTATGATACAGACCTTTCCTTGCACCAAATCAACTACTGTATTTGTCAGCTGTTAACACCCATACACATATGTTATGTGTTTAACATTACAATTAAAACAATAAAAACAACTAAACTATACAAAAAAACTTGATTACCTACTCCTAATTATCCAAAACAATTAGCTGAAAAATTTGATCTTGATAAAGGTATAAATTTGACAAAATTTTGAAATCGTGAATTTATATAAATTATATATTTGTGTATTCAATGATGATACAGATAATATTACAGCTATACTCTGTGTATACTGAATATTGTATACTGTATTAATTTACCTGTATATGGGTGAAGATACAAGGGGTACAGGTGCCCGCTACAGGACTGTTTTAACGTTACTAGATAACATAACCATTAAGATCACTTTGTATCGAGCTGATATCACAAGATAACTGATATCGTCTTTGTAACATATTCGTTCATAGAGTAAGATATTACAAAATTCCACTGGTGCTTCGACTCATGTTCCCCAGGATGCAAGCCTCGTCAGTTGACTATCTTTTGGGTATTTACGTCACTGTTAGGTGGACAGAGACATCAGGTGAAAGGAAGCGCTCACAACCGTCTCGTCCCGTCAGGGAATCGAACTCTGTGGTTCAGGGGGTTGTGAGCCGATAACAGTAGTCTTTATGTGTGTGTGTGTACTCACCTAGTTGTGTTTGCGGGGGTTGAGCTCTGGCTCTTTGGTCCCGCCTCTCAACCGTCAATCAACTGATGTACAGGTTCCTGAGCCTACTGGGCTCTGTCATATCTACATTTGAAACTGTGTATGGAGTCAGCCTCCACCACATCACTGCCTAATGCATTCCATTTACTAACTACTCTGACACTGAAAAAGTTCTTTCTAATGTCTCTGTGGCTCATTTGGGTACTCAGCTTCCACCTGTGTCCCCTTGTTTGCGTCCCTCCAGTGTTGAATAGTTCATCCTTGTTTACCCGGTGGATTCCCCTGAGGATTTTGTAGGTTGTGATCATGTCCCCCTTTACTCTTCTGTCTTCCAGTGTCGTAAGGTGCATTTCCCGCAGCCTTTCCTCATAACTCATGCCTCTCAGTTCTGGGACTAGTCTAGTAGCTACCTTTGGACTATTTCCAGCTTCGTCTTGTGCTTGACAAGGTACGGGCTCCATGCTGGGGCCGCATACTCCAGGATTGGTCTTACGTATGTGGTGTACAAGATTCTGAATGATTCCTTACACAGGTTCCTGAAGGCTGTTCTGATGTTAGCCAGCCTCGCATATGCCGCTGTCGTTATTCTTTTTATGTGGGCTTCAGGAGACAGGTTTGGTGTGGTATCAACTCCTAGCTCTTTCTCTCCGTCTCTTTGTGAGTGTGTGTGGGTGTGCAACAGGTGTCTCGCAGGAGGTGCGCAATTTAGTGACAGGTTTGAAGTCACACACCTGTCGAAGGTTTGTCCTATTATTTCCTATATCTTTGTGCCACACAGCTGATGCTGCACCCCCTCACCCCGGTACACACATGTTAGAAATAGGACATGAGTCATTACTTTCCGGCGGCTAGAAAGGCGGGGTCCAAGAGCCAGTGCTCGATCCTGCAGGCACAAAGTAGGTGAGTACACACACACACATACACACACACACACATACACACACACACACGTTCACGTTGTTGTATATGTATACACGTTCTGGCATCTTAGAGTATCGTGTGGGGGTTCTGTGTGGTAGTGTAGGAGGTGTGGCGGTAATGAGGAACCATTATTAACCCCCTTGATCCAAGATTATCACCCCTTAACTCCAGGATTATCACCCCTTAACCCCAGGATTATCACATCCTAACCCCCGTAGTCCTGAGTTGGTCGGGTTGACTAAAAAACCTGGTTTGGCACCAGTTTGGGGCCCTTCGGAACCTCCCAGAGAACTCAGAAGGGTTCCGGGTTGATCGGCCTTTGTCCCACCGTGGCTGAGTGGTCAAAGCAGGCGTCTGGGAATCACCAGGTCGCCAGTTCGAGTCACCCCATTACTTCAGAAGGATTTTCATTGATATATCACGTCATTGTGATTTTATTGCGATATGTCGTCAAACTATTGAGCGAGACGTGTAATAGTCTTCTTATACGTCAATATTCCGGTGTTTTAATTTGGATGAATACGTCGTATTTTTAACGGAGGAGTCGACTCCGTTAAAAACAAGCGACGCACTAGGAGATAGAACGGATTGTCCAGAACGGATTGTTCCGGATTGTCCAGAACGGATTGTTCCGGATTCTCCACAACGAATTGTTCCGGATTGTCCATAACGGATTGTTTCGGATTGTCCATAACGGATTGTTTCGGATTGTCCATAACGGATTGCTCCGGATTGTCCAGAACGGATTGTCCATAACGGATTGTTTCGGATTGTCCATAACGGATTGCTCCGGATTGTCCAGAACGGATTGTCCATAACGGATTGTTTCGGATTGTCCATAACGGATTGCTCCGGATTGTCCAGAACGGATTGTTCCTGATTCTCCACAACGGATTGTTCCTGATTTTCCACAACGGATTGTTCCGGATTTGCTAGGGAATGAGGAAGGAAAGAGCGGAAACTCTCACATGGACCAGGGGACCACCACCACCACCACTTGTCTACACTGCCGTAAATCATCACTCACGCGGGGGAAACACCAATTATGTGCCTCAATTGCTGGGAAATTGAGGCGGTGTTTAATGGTGTAGTTTACTTCCGAGTCTTGCGGAGGGAAACTGTACCACCATGACTAGTGACGCCTCAATTGTTGCTCTTTCTCTCGGCCTCTTTCCCGCGCTGTGTTGACTTGTGTCACACCTTGGGTTATGGCACCTGGTATAACCCCTCAGTGGAACCTGAGGGAGATGGGGGGGGGCAGGGCAGACATACCCATAGATCCGGGCACCGTGGTACCCCCCCTTTCTAGTGGAATTGCCTAAGTGTAGTTACAAGATGAGAGCTTCGCTCGTGGTGTCCCGTTTTCCCAGTTATCTTGAGATTCTTGAGGTTATCTTGAGATGATTTCGGGGCTTTAGTGTCCCTGCGGCCCGGTCCTCGACCAGGCCTCCACCCCCAGGAAGCAGCCCGTGACAGCTGACTAACACCCAGGTACCTATTTTACTGCTAGGTAACAGGGGCATAGGGTGAAAGAAACTCTGCCCAATGTTTCTCGCCGGCGCCTGGGATCGAACCCAGGACCACAGGATCACAAGTCCAGCGTGCTGTCCGCTCGGCCGACCGGCTCCCAATACTCTTTGTCGTATACTGTGCATGTGTGTGTTAAGTGTATGTCGGATTTAGTGTCAGTAGGGTTTGTATACTGGTATGCATATACGTGTTATGTATGTTATACATGCTATGACTGGTGAGTGATGGGGAAGGCAGTGCATGGGTGGAGGGTCCTGGTGAGTATGAGGATGTGACCTATCTCACCAGGACCTCACTGCCTCTACCTACTCATTCTTCATTATACTCACTGATCTCCCTCATCACCATCTCTGACGACCCCCTCATAATACCCTCCAACACCATCATCACCCCCTGCCACGGGACCGTCACTATACTCACGAAAGCTGTCTCATATCTTGTGTAAACACCCAAATATACACTTAGATGTATACTCCGCTCCTCTGTATATATATACACGCGCAGTTCACCCTTGTCTTGAGGTATGTTTAGGATTTTGATCAAGTATATTTGTTCGTGGCGAGGTATTGTCTCGGCCATAGCAACCCTGCTGTTGATGGGCCTCAATACACTCGTTGATGGGCCTCAATACACTCCGTTATTGCCAGTAACGGAAGGGGTGTGTATTGCCGTGCAAGCTGTGTTATGAGGTGTGACACATGAGATGTATGTCTGCGGGGTGTGGTGAGAACATGGGTGTCCAAACACTTGTCAACATGTTGCTGGGGTTCCCACGCCTCACATGGACCGGGAGCCTCACATGGACCCGGAGCCTCACATGGACCGGGAGCCTCACATGGACCCGGAGCCTCACATGGACCCGGAGCCTCACATGGTGAGGTGCCCGGGGTCCATGTGAGGTGAAATGATGCCCAACCACTTGGACGGTCGGGTATTGAACGCTGACCTGCATGAAGCGAGACCGTCGCTCTACCGTCTACCGTTCTCCCATTAAACCTCAATCTACACACTGGGTAACCTTTTTAGTTATTAATACAATCCGGATCAAGCGGATTGTATTAGGATATGTGGGCTAGATTAATTTAAGTGATTTGTTGAGTATCTGAGTGACTTGTTGAGTCGTTCGCTTCACCTACCTTATGGCTGAGTAGCTTGCGTGACTAACCTTGATCTTGATGCTGGAGGCCATCATGCCACAGTCGAGGCTGACGAAGACGACCCGTCGCTGGGTGTCGTCGAAGATGAAGGCGCGAGAGAAGAGACGCATGTGGATCCCACTGTTGATCTGCCCTGGGTTAGCGTACCCCATCTGTAGAACACCATCCATTATGTTACCATAGTGTCTCTACGTGTTATGTGGGCCCCCATGCCGAGCCTGTGAGTGGTAGTGGACCCCCCCATGTCCATACTGTGAGTGGTAGTGGGCCCCCCATGTCCATACTGTGAGTGGTAGTGGGCCCCCTATGCCCATCCTGTGAGTGGTAGTGGACCCCATGCCCATCCTGTGAGTGGTAGTGGACCCCATGCCTATACTGTGAGTGGTAGTGGACCCCATGCCCATACTGTGAGTGGTAGTGAACCCCCATGCCCATCCTGTGAGTGGTAGTGGGCCCCCCATGCCCATCCTGTGAGTGGTAGTGGACCCCATGCCCATCCTGTGAGTGGTAGTGAACCCCATGCCCATCCTGTGAGTGGTAGTGGGCCCCCCATGCCCATCCTGTGAGTGGTAGTGGGCCCCCATGCCCATCCTGTGAGTGGTAGTGGGCCCCCCATGCCCATCCTGTGAGTGGTAGTGGGCCCCCATGCCCATCCTGTGAGTGGTAGTGGGCCCCCATGCCCATCCTGTGAGTGGTAGTGAACCCCATACCTATCCTTTCAGTGGTAGTGAGCCTCATACCTATCTTGTGAGTGGTAGTAGACCCCATACCCATCTTGAAAGTGGTTGTGGATCCCATACCCATCCTGTGAGTTATATTAGGTTACATTAAGTTAGATTAAATTATATTTCACATGGTTAGATTAAGCTGTAGTAGGTATGGTCAAGTTAGATTACCATATATTCTGTGAATGTATATATTGTAACGCTGATTGGGCAGTGTCGCGCAGTTTGGAGCCCAAACCTAACATGACCCTTGAGTAAAATTGAAACTGAACCTACGTTCTGTGTTTCAGAGTGAAGGCGGGTGATTGACATACCAACTGACCTCTGCTATTTCTGGACCAGTAAGTAATTTTTTTTTTTTTTTTTTTTTTTTTTTTTTTTTTTTTTTTTTTTTTTTGAGATATATACAAGAGTTGCTACATTCTTGTACAGCCACTAGTACGCGTAGCGTTTCGGGCAAGTCCTTAATCCTATGGTCCCTGGAATACGATCCCCTGCCGCGAAGAATCGTTTTTTCATCCAAGTACACATTTTACTGTTGCGTTAAACAGAGGCTACAGTTAAGGAATTGCGCCCAGTAAATCCTCCCCGGCCAGGATACGAACCCATGACATAGCGCTCGTGGAACGCCAGGCGAGTGTCTTACCACTACACCACGGAGACTGTAATATATATTAATATATATTCTTATTATAAATCTCTGATTAAACCTAGTACAATACAATTCTTTAGTTACCGTAACATATTTGCCTTTGTGAGCTCGTTTTCTTTTAGAAGACCAAGGTATAGTTTTCTATTGAACGATTAGTTGTATAGGTAGACTATACTATATTATCTTTTGCATCGACGGATCGCATATAAATTATGAAATTATTGGTTACCATCTTTATATGTAGATATACGAATCTTTTCATCGAGGAAGGAAGTACTAAAATATTAAATATAATGGAATTTTCAGTATTGAAAAATATCAACCTAACACTTGGAGTGTTCTTCAAACGGTCATGGAGGATAATTCCTGAAGTTTTTTGTTCTTTTCACATCAAACAAATTACATACATCGCTGTAAAACTACCGTATATGGAGAGGAATTAATTAATTCCTCCGAAGGGAAGGGAACTATGAGGAAAATGCACCAAGCCATTACGACTATATAGCACTTGGAAGGGGTCAGGATAAGGATTTGGGATGAGACGGGGGCAAGGAATGGTGCCCAACCACTTGTGGACGGTCGGGGATTGAGCGCCACCCTGCATGCAGCGAGACCGTCGCTCTACCGTCCACCCCAAGTGGTTGGACCTAATCATACTGAGATTAAGTAAATGTAAAACTTGTTATATAATATTTTTGACGAGTGTATACATACCATGTTGACGCCTGCTGCAGGGCCGGTAGCGTCGTGTATACCCACGCCAATGTTGTAGAGGGAGGGGTCGGGCCGGGGGTCCGGCACCTGGGCCCCCACAACCACACCAACACACAGCAACACCCACCGCAACATCCTGAAACACACCAGTACGGTTGCAGAAGGTTGGAAGTTTATATATCTGATTAGATTTTGTTCTGTCGTCCATCGAGGCAAATTTAATGCTGATTTTGATGACGTCAACGAAAGTTGACAAGAAACATGGGTTGTATTCCTGCTTATATCTGATATGAGTATGAGAAAGTTGGAGTGGCGAGGACCTACCTTGTCGGACTGTTTTCCGGACTGCTCCGAACTGTTCCGAACTGTTTCAAACTGTTCCGAACTGTTCCGAACTGTTCCGGACTGTAATCACGGTTATTTTGTTTATATTACACTGTTCGCGATCCGTTCGTTAGAAAATTTAACCTATCATCTGCTTGTAAAAATTTCTTATACACATCGTCTGCATATTGGTTTGTTTCATCTGTCTCCGTAGTTTTGTTGGTGATCAACACGTGTGGCTCTAAAACTGTGTCGTCTGTGCTTGTAGAGGTTCTTGCTCACTATAGCCGTGGACGTAGTGGCGTGCTGGTACACTCGCAACAATGTGTGATGTTTGCCACTTTCTTGACCTAAGGGGCTTGGATAGGATAGGGGGGAAGATGGGGGGAATAAAGAGGATAGGGAAACGGATGTTAGGTTCGTCTGTTCTGAAGACTTAGTCACTACTCTAAAATCTCCCGTCTGCGTAAGAGTCATGTCAGCAGAGTTTGGTGTATGGAGGGTGTCTGCGTTTGTTATGTTCAGTGTCTGCGTTAATCTTATTATGCATAGAATGTGCCCAGAAATTGTACCTGTTGTGCTGGCCAAAATGTTTCCTTGTTTAGGCGTGACAATTTTTAACCTTACTGAACTATCTTCACTTTTTGGCATAATTTAAAAACCGATGACTGCAATTTTGTGTCCAAACTGTTGTGTAACACTGAGTTTGATAACCAACCGTCCTATCAGCTAATAGGTCACGTTTTGTACGCAATGGTAACCGACATTAAAGAGGCAACCTACTATAACAAAATAACGGCTCACAAATATATACGTTTTCTATGCATCGGACTCCATAGGTTAAGTGGGTTGCTTAGGTTTGTACGTTTCTGGCTAGGTTAAGTCTGCATTTTGTACGTAGCGGCAAACTAATAGTACTGGCTGAAATCCGTCCTCAGACCAAATCCATTCCATCCAGCGGTCGACCCCACAGATGCATTCATAAATTTTTACATGTCGTTCATTCGAAACAAGAATATTCTTAAATATAAATTAATATTGTTTTTATTACTAAATTGTACATAATTTAGGCATTGGTTAGATTAGGTTAGGTGCTTAGGTTCTGTTGGGGTTATTTGTAGTACGTGGGTGAAGCATTTACAACGTTGTGGTTCCAACAAAATTCGTCAGTGAAGCACTTGTTCCGGAAGTGTTCGGACGTCATCAGTTGTAAGTCGTGTGTAAAACGTTTATTCATTCATAAACACCTGGGGTTTGGCGGGTGGATGGAATGGTCTTTGGTTCTTTAATGACCAGACCACACACTAGAAGGTGAAGGGACGACGACGTTTCGGTCCGTCCTGGACCATTCTCAATCGACTTAAGAATGGTCCAGGACGGACCGAAACGTCGTCGTCCCTTAACCTTCTAGTGTGTGGTCTGGTCAACATACTTTAGCCACGTTATTGTGACTCCTTGCCTGCATTTGGGTCTTTCTTTGGAGGACGGGCTGCTGGCTGATCTCTTTGTTTGGTACAACTAGGATATGTAGTGGATTAGCAGTCCCCGTGGCGTAGTGGTAAGACGCTCGTCTGGCGTTTCGCGAGCCCTTTGGCCTGGGTTCGTATCCTGGTCGAGGAAGATTGACTGGGCGCCAATCCTTAACTGTAGCCTCTGTTCACCCAGCAGTGAATCGGTACCTGGTAGTTAAACAATTTGGCGGGTCATATTCCGGGGAAAATTAGGATGAAGGACTTGCCCGAAACGCTATGCGTACTAGTGGCTGTACAAGAATATAACAACTCTTGTAAATAAATAAATAAATAAAAAAATAAATAAATAAATAAATAAATAAAAATAAAATGAAATATGTGGGTCTGTAGGCCGCACCAAGCAACAGCCTGATTTATCACAAGTCGAGCCTGGCTTCAGGCCGGGCCCGGGAAGTAGAAGAACTCCTGAAACCCTCTTCATGTAAGCTCCAGGTATGCTCTTAATGTCCACACCGCCACGCGCTGGGACCTTGTTTACATGAGAAGCAACGCAACTCAATCCCCACTACCCGCATCTGAATGGTTCTCTCTGATATCATGCCGTTTATATTATGGGCATAATCTTTGATATCATGGGCCACATGAACGTTGATATCATTGCCCTACAGTGCCTATAATGGGGCAATGAAGTTCCCCAGGCCCCTAAGGTGTCCATCCGGCCTTGGCTAGGGTAGGGTGGAGGTAAATCATAGGTTGAGAGAGGGAGGGAGAGGAAGGTAGTTTCGGGCGTGTGACTGTCCACCTGCCACAGGGGGAGATACAGCTGACGAAGTTTCCCCTGGGGGGTTGTGAGAACGTGGCCGCCTGTCTCTGCTCTCTTGTTTACCGCTGATTACACTCCTCAAATGCCTCTCACGGTCCGGCTAAAGTATCATTATCGCTGTTATATTTTCGTTACTGGGAAAGCCTCGCGGTATTAAAAATACCAAAGCCTGTTTGACAATATTCTATATTCTGTTTGGCAATAAATCCTCTAATCAAATAAATCTCAAAATAAACAATACCCAAATTTGTAACAAATTAGATGGCAAATTCCTTGGCATTCTCATTGACCACAAGCTGAATTTCCAGGGCCACATTCTAAATATATAAAAAAGTTTCAAAAACTGTGGGCATTCTTTCTAAGATCAGATATTATGTACCCCGCCCTGCCCTGGTGACTCTCTATTACTCCCTCGTCTATCCATATCTCAACTATGGTATTTGTGCTTGGGGCTCTACTACCCAAAATCATTTACGTCCTCTAATTACTCAACACAAAGCTGCTATTAGGACAATATCCAACTCTGGCCCCAGACATCACTCGGTACCCCTACTCAAATCTCTGAATATGTTAGATATTAAGTCACTGCACATTCTCTCATGTGTATTATACATATATAAAACGCTAAACTATAATGCCAATCCTGACCTCAAAAGCTTCATAGAAGGTTGTAACAGAACCCATGAGCACCACACTAGAAATAAATACAGTTTTGATATTCCTAGAGTACGACTTAATCAAACTAGAAATGCTCTACAAATCAAGGGACCCAGAATGTGGAATGACCTTCCCAACCATGTTAAAGACTGTACCTCTCTCAACCAGTTTAAGATAAAAACGAAGCTATACCTAATAAATTCCCTGTAACCTAGCTTACCCCTCTATTGTCATCCAATGTCTGTTTTTTTTAAAGAGCGCTGTTTGTCGACAGAATTGTATTTGTGCTGCTTTTTCAGCTATGTTTTCATTCCATGTTTTCATTTTACTCTTTATGCTCAATTAGTATTAAGCTTTAGTCATTTAAGTTTTTCATGCCCGAAACGCTTTGCGTAATAGTGGCTTTAGGCATTGTATGTACTAGCCCTAACTATAAATCCATCACTCTTTGTAAAATCTCTTTTATGTTTGTACCTTACCTAAATAAACATTTGATTTTGATTTTTTTTTTTTTTGTTAATGTCTTTTTAGAGGCGGCTCCCAATATGGGCTCCACGGACCCTTTAATACTGTACTGTATATTGAATTATACTCTATATGAACCTCTGATGAGCGTTGAACTGAATGTCTCCTGTTATCATGTTATCATGCTGCTTTTCACATAACCATATGCATAACTTTTAGCTTGTAAACAAATATTTTATTTAGGAAAACCACGACGCAATGAAAGAAAACGGTATCTTAATCATTTTTGATGGTAGACTTTTCTTAGAAATACGTGAGATTTGTTTCGTCATAACTATTCAAATTCAATTTCAAAATTCAAATTTTTATTCAGGATTAAAAAAATGGAATATAGTAAAAATGGGCACTTCTAAATTGTTGAATACAAAGTATCGTATTCAACTTCAGAGGAGCGTCAAATAGGCTTCACTATGACTTTCAAAGTTTAAGATGAAGGTTTTGTAAGTCATGATGAGTTGCCATGAAGGTGGATGACCAGGATGATGAGTTGTCTCGAAGGTGAATGACTAGGTTGATGAGTTGTCAAGAAGGTTGATGACCAGGTTGATGAGTTGTCTCGAAGGTGGATGACCAGGTTGATGAGTTGTCAAGAAGTTAGATGACCAGGTTGATGAGTTGTCTCGAAGGTTGATGAGTTGTCACAAAGGTGGATGACCAGGTTGATGAGTTTTTACGAAGGTGGATAACCAGGTTGATGAGTTGTCACGAAGGTGGATAACCAGGTTGATGAGTTGTCACGAAGGTGGATGACCAGGTTGATGAGTTGTCACGAAGGTGGATAACCAGGTTGATGAGTTGTCACGAAGGTGGATAACCAGGTTGATGAGTTGTCACGAAGGTGGATGACCAGGTTGATGAGTTGTCACGATGGTGGATGACCAGGTTGATGAGTTGTCACGAAGGTGGATGACCAGGTTGATGAGTTGTCACGAAGGTAGATGACCAGGTTGATGAGTTGTCACGAAGGTGACAACTACAACTCACTATCTCTTTAACATTCAGTGTTCTCAACATTCTTAGCGAGATAGTAACCTCCTCTCCACTTGTACCACCCATGGAGGCCCACCACACAGCGCTGACAAGTCCGGAACAAGGAAAGATTGGAGTATTACTTCTGGTGTTTATATAAATATGTCGAAGCACCGTCAGCAGTCGGTACTGTGAGGCTGCCTGCTGACGCCGTCCTCAGGAACTGTGATTATGTCAGCCGTCAGCATAACATTGGCCAAATACTTGTTAATCCACAGGCAAAACCGAAGGATAAACAGTTGACAGGTGACTGGCAATCGATTACATTGGAATGTTCTTCAGCCAAGCTTTGGTCGACGCTAAAGATGTATTCGTCAGAGTTAATGTACTGTGTGGCAATTTTTTTTTATTTTCTTATATATGTGTATAGTTAGGCCTCTGATAGGTTATGTTAGCGGTTTTGATAATGTTAGCAACGAGTTGTATGAGCAATATATGGCCAACCTGTCCACAAGCAACGCTCCTCCAATCTACGGCTCTGTTCTACACTATCCCTATACATAGTCTAGAACAAAAACTACATCTAGCATTCAGCCCCTGCGCATGGGAGATGAAACTTTAATACATAACTGCAAAAAAAATGAAGACAGAAATACTGAGGCTACAGTTTGATTCTGTTTTCAGTGAACCCACGCTGAACACATACGTCATGGCTGCATGTCCCTAGCCTGCGCTCACCCTTGTCCCCCTCACCCATGTCACCCCTGACCATACCGGACTTTGAAGATGATATAGTTTCCTAAACATCATTGGGAGACGGACCATAGATACCCGTGTAATCCGCAACATATTTTAAATCTAAATATCATAGCCTAGCTGGCCTAGCCTAGCCACGAACGCATAGAAAACTAGATTTTTGAGAGATGTTATTGTTAATAATAAATAAATGTTTATTCAGGTAAAAGTACATACATTCAAAATGAGTTACGAACAGAATGTTGGATTTCTAGATAGAGCTGTACATACTATGCCTAAAGACACTAATATGAATAGCGTTTCGGGCAAGTTTCAGGCGTTTTCATAGTACACCAACCAGAAGGTCTTGTCAAAGACCGGGCCGCAGAGACAGTGATTCTCGGAACCACCTCAAGGTAATGCCTGTAGATATTATGCAAGAGATAATCCCTTGTGGCCATGGTTATACACATAGAGCTATTAGCTCTTGGACCCCGCCTTTCTACCCAATCTATTTTTCCTTTTATGTCTACTACAAATATTTATCTCTAACACACACACACACACCCCAAGAAGCAGCTGTCTAACTCCCAGGTGCCTATTTACTGCTAGGTGAACAGGGGGCATCAGGGGTGAAAGAAATTCCGCCCATTTAATTGTGTGGGTATGTTTCCTTGCTCTCACTCACCTAGAGTGGCAGGTGGGTAAGGCGTACTCACCTATAGGGGCGGGTGAGTAAGGAGCGTCCGTCTAACCGTCAGGTGCGCCACACACTGACTGCCTGAGAGAGAGAGGGAGAGTGGACCTCCCTATCCTCGTCCCTAGCCTCTACCTCCTCCTCTCCTGGTGGGGGGAGGAGGTTGACAAGCCTCGCAAAATACGGCCGCTACGAGCAACAAAACTCCTTATGGTAAGACATTTCAAGAGCTCTGTAAACTCTTGAACAAACACTAAACATCAGACGAGAAGAAACCATCAGGATGTGGAACATGATTGATAATCTAGAGGACCCAATGCTACATGAGACGCCCACTCCCACAGCTGGGGCCCAAGAGCTTGGATCTACTCGATGGAACCTATGCCCCACAATACATAATTCCAAAATGAAGTACTGACCTCACCTAAATCTATTAATAAAATAAAGACCCTTAACAAAAATCATGTACACAAAACACTCGAACGTAGGTTCGAATCCTCGTCACGGCCCTTGTGGATTTTTTCATGTAAACAAACATCTGAGTGTGCATATGTGAATACTACACAACAGGTATTCATGTGTAGATATATATATATATATATATATATATATATATATATATATATATATATATATATATATATATATATATATATATATATATATATATATATATATATATATATATATGTGCTGGAATACATGTGAGGAACCTCACACACACACACTCACAAGAGAGAACAAGCTTAGCTTAGCTGCCAAACATACACACATTTCAAACAATCAACACATATGTCACAGTTTCATATGTAGATATGATAAGAGCCCAATAGGCTCGGCAATCTGTACCCTCCCAGTTGATTGACAGTTGAGAGCTGGGACCAAAGAGCCGAAGTTCAACCCCCACAAGTATGACTAGGTTGAGTACATCGTGTCAGCAAGGTGGACAGCCCGCCTGCAATCATAATTCATTTTCCATTTGTGAATATTTCCTTCGCCTGTACCTTCCCATCTTATATACACCCAGAGGACGCAAAGGTTAGATATATATTTTATACTTTTTACAGCGATATACGTGTGCAATGTACTTTAATCTGACTGGCTGAAAAATAAAAACGATTTGCGACCTTGCCAGGATTCGAACCTGGAATCTTCTGATCCGTAGTCAGACGCGTTATCCGTTGCGCCACAAGGCCGTGATGAGGGTGGATGTGTTAGTCTTACTCTACATTTACTCGCTCCACCCATACATTACTCACTTCACCATACATTATCCACTCGCTCCATCCATACATTACTCACTCCACCATACATTACTCACTCCACCATACATTACTCACTCCACCATACATTTCTCACTCACTCCACCATACACCACTGGCAACCCCTTCACCTGAAGGAGGAGCTCCGCTGACAAAATTAATACAGTATAATGGGTCCTATAGTGCAGTAGGCCCCGTCATAGACTCACAACCAAGGATCCCGTGCAGGTTCGATCCCCGGGCGGGATAGGGGCGCTTTGACACGTTTCCTTTCATCTGTTGCATCCATTTACCTAGTAGTAAATATGTCGCCGGGAGTTAGGCAGTTATGGGCTGCGTCCTGGGGGGGGGGAAGGCTTACCTTTACCTTAGGTCTTCTTGATATGGCTAAAAGCCTGTCTCTCCCAGGAAGGAATTATTACAGGGTCGTTCCGGGGAGTTATGATCAGTGGGGCAAGACATATACATCCTATGTCATAATGTTGACAAACGCCTGTTATAAAATAATTGTTAATTATATCTGTATTTGCGTATATATAGCCACTCGTGTCTTCCGTCATTGCCTTAATTATCTGTTTGCATTGATGACAAGGAAAGACTATAGGACAGTGAATAGGTGTAATTGTTCATTGAAGGGAGTGTATATTAGGGGGTTTGATCAATGTATATAAGCAGATGAAGAGTCACAATAACGTGGCTGAAAAATGTTGACCAAACTACACATCAGAAGATGAGGAGACGACGACGTTTCGGTCCGTCCTGGACCATTATCGACAATTGACTTGAGAATGGTCCACGACGGACCGAAACGTCGTCGTCTCTTCAATATTTAGTGTGTGGTTTGATCAACAATGTATATAGGCAACCTTCCTTCCATTATCAGGTTGAAGCCCGTTCTCAGAATAAATAAATCTGTTATATTGAGACACCAAACCCACTCTTCTACCACCTGGGTATAGTTATCTAGACATTTGTGATGGTCTGGGAGCGTATTGTGGTTCCAATAATTGTCTAGTTGTAAACTGGCAAGTGAACATTTGTCCTAAATAGAGAATATTCTCAAGGTTTAACTTTACAAATTGTTGGTTTACAATATAAAAAGTATATGCTGAACCCGTTTTCTTTGAAATTCTAAAGAATTTAGTTTTCTGTAATTCAAATTATAGGGTATACTCAAATAGTATTTAAATTCTGTTTTCGCATTTTTTTTTTTTTAGAATAATACACTGTATGGACGTAACCCAACGTAATGAAACCTAACCCAACCTTAACCTAACCATGGATAAGAAGTAGATAATAGCACTTATTATGTTGTGGCTTTGAAGTCATTACCTCCAGAAGACCTCCTCCCTGAGGACAGGTTGCAGTGTGTTGGTACTGGGACATTTGAGGCCGGCGGGGTGTCACGGAAGGCTAGCTAAGCCGACAGAGGGCAGTGTGACCAGTGTGAGCCTTCATGCTGCTCCAATCATCATATGTGATTTTTTCCCATTTGATTGTAAACAATTTTTAGTCGTGAGCTCTTCGATGTAGTGCTTTTAAACAGCTGCGCAGTTTAGGGGTTTAGCTGAAACCTCATACTCTTATACCAAGTTAGTCGGCGGGAAAGGTAAGATGGGTAAGCATGTGTTGTGTATTATTAACGTCTTAAGGCATGTTTAATAAGATATCATGTAATGTGTTGATGATAATTACCTTAGGGAGGGTAAGTTAAATCAGTTTAAATATAATTAAAATCACTTTGGCTTAGACTATCCTTCGTTGTGTGAATGGCTACCTGGTTATAAGGATAGGCGCTCCCGGACAGTTAGTGATGAACTGCTGATGGTTGTGGGTGTGGGGAACGGGTGTGGAGGCGACTGATGAACTATAAGGGATGTGATGATGGGGGGGAACTGTGTTACGGGCTCACCATAGCCCGTGCTTCATGGACATTTCATTCTGAGTAGCTAAATCTAAAACAACGGGGAACTGTGTGGTGGTGTGGAGGCGGCGGTGATGTAAGCTCAGAGATGATGATAGACCAAACCCGATAGTCACGTTGTGTACACTGGCCGTCCCCACGCAGGAGAGCCCTCAACCCTCTACCGTCGCTCGCAACCTCCACGCAAGCAACTCCTAACATTCATGTGTGTCTGAAGCCTGAATTACGTGTACAACATTGCTAATACCGGTGTTACACTATCATTCACGAGCATAGATGAGGCGAAGATTCCTCGGCATGGCCAAAAAAAAGTGTCCAAAACAGTTTGCATATTTAAAAAAATCAGAAACCCTCCACTCTACTTGAAGCCTCCACTGGGTGCAACTCCCCACCCCCCCCAACCCCCCTTCCACATTTACTCCTAAACCAAGCAAATATCAGAACTTACAAATTCAGGCAATAGACAGCCTGTTTGTTTATATCGCTTGAACATCAAACAAGAAATAATTGTATCCGGGATGTTGCCAGTCAGAGCAAATCTAAGCAAAGATGCCAGGCTCACTACAGGGATCCAATGCATATAAATCTCCTTTCCCAGTTAAGTAAAAATTGCTCAACATATACTTCGTTCAAAGGTAAAACAATGAAGTACCTAATTTCCCCACCATGTGCTACCATCTTTCTTATTAACATGTTTAACATGTAACAGAATAATTTGAATTTGAATTTGAATTTTTAATTTGAATTTGAATTTGTTTAGGTACGTCAGTAGTTTGCTATCTAGGAAACGAACTTTATTAAAATGTAAATATTGTTTCTATCTACATAATTATAGTCATTTCCTCACCCAATTACTAACTGTAAGACACTAATTATGTTAACTCACAATTTGCTTCAATTTCTCATATTGTATTCTTCAGTGATAAGTTTTATTTGTTTGTTTAAGATTAACTATTCACTGTGTGAATTCCAATTCACTGCAAGTGTATTAGTGGTTTTGCAGGAAAATTTGCACTTTATAACCCAATGTTATAAAGGGTTATAAAGGGTCCTTCTTGTGTATATATTTAAATAAATAAACAGCTGTCCATGGGGACTTTTATATTAAAAGTTGGTCACTTACAGGATCTTGCAGCAAGAATTGTTTATCCAGATGAGATTTAGAATTGTATTGTTTAAACAGCGTCACGTTTATTATTTTGATAAACCCGAAAACCCGAAAACCAGTTTTGATAAACCCGAAACGCTGCGCGTACTAGCGGATTTACAAGATTGTAATTACCATATTATGTATCCTCACAATCCCAATGTACCTTCTTGTATATGCATAAATAAATAAAATAAATAAATAAAATAAATAAATAAATAAATAGATTACAATTGATATATCCCAATATAGGAGAGCCGTATATACGGAACATCATCGCACACTGTTCAATACACTTTCACACTCACCTTCAAAAACTCGAATTTCACTATTTCCACAAATGTTCACCTTTTCTAAAAACTCTTTAAACAAACACAATATCCACACAGTCAGTATGACACTGTATTTCCATCTTGAATATTAATGTAATGCCATTCTCGGCGAGGCCTCTGCTGGCAGTTGTGTGGTAGGCTTGCGTGTATGTGAACCTCTGCCACCAAGTATTGGCCAGTCTTGCTCTCCGTTAGCGAGTGGAGAGTGATTGGGGGTCTGGGGGAAGTGATTGTACACCCCAGCCATTGTTGGGTGGGCGGGGTGGGGTACACCCCAGCCACTGTAGGGGGGGGGGGCTTGTGGCTATAGCTACACTCTCTCACTCTATGTTGGTTTACGGGATATTCATGCCCGTGCTACCTTATGGGTGGCTTAATCTTCATCGTCAATCTATGTGGGTGGGAACAGCTCCTGTGCCAGGTAAGTCCACTACGGGCTCACCATACCTTGAGGTTACCTTGAGGTGCTTCCGGGGCTTAGCGTCCCCGCGGCCCGGTCGTCGACCAGGCCTC